CATATTCGTATAACATAAATAGTGCAAAGAAGAACATCGCATTCCTGCTCTCCTGTAGATCAAAGCATTCATTTATTATATTTATTTGTTATAATTTGCAAATTATACAAATTTATTTTTTTTTTTTAAAAAAAAAATAATAAAATAAAATAAAATAATAAAATAAAAAAAAAGTTCAGATTCATTTTATCCCTACCTACAGAAAGACCCAGGAACACTAATACAATACCATTAGATTCTACATTGCTTTGGTCAAGAAGCATATACTGTGAATTCTATTGTGGAGCAAATTTTCAAATAATTCTTAATGCTGACACGACGGCCTCACTACTTTCTTTATTAACAAAGAAATGGGCACCAACATTTCAACTGCCACAGCCATCACGGATGTATAAAGTAAATAAACGCCACCCATGCTTATTAGTATTATGTGTAGAATCCATTAGTGTTAATCAACCATAATGCATTAAATTTTCTATTTGCCAGGAATTTGCGAAGCATAAATCTCGCGAATGCTCAAGTGATTCTTGCCTTTTAAAAGACTCAACTTGATAATTATTTTTTATTAAAAATTCGGTTGTACTTAAAAAATCAGATTTTAAATTCGCATTTCCAATAAGATGTGAATTCATCGAACCAACAAGTTTCTGCTTGATATTAGTGACCTCCTTTGTTTTTAGATACTCCACGCCCAAATCTTCATACAATTTCGAAACCTATTTCCTAACAATATTTGCAATCGTCGGGAGGTTTGTAGTCCTTAATTGCCTTATTGCCCACCATATCCCTAATAAATTTTAACCGTTTACACATGACACTTTCTTCCATCAAATGGCTATGATCAGGGGTACCATTTACCTGTAAACAAATTTTTTTTTTAATTTATTGTAATAAAAAATATTACATTACAATATTTTAAATAATGCTATCCTTATTCTTACCCTCTCAATTATAACCATATTCGATACCGCTAACCACGTTATTTTGATTTTAGCTTCACAATTCACAGTATTTCTTTTCCAGGTTATGCGAAGCTTTTCAGGAGGGAGGTTTTCTTTTCTTCTGCTTGATTTCTTAGGTTTTGAAAGTCTACAAACAAAAGTTTTATACTCATCACCATTATCTAATATATAACTATTGAGCCTTGTCCAAAAGTTATTAACAAGTGCCCACTGCTTGTTGAAGTCCTCAATAGAAAGGTTAAATATTTCATTCACATTAAAAAAATGTTCTCAGATGGTTGATATTGCTATAGTGGTGGCCACGGAGTTATAATCGACCAAGGTTTGTCATTACTATATGTATTTTTTTGGAGGGGTTTTTTTTCTTGCTTTTTTTTTTTAATTTTTTTTTCTTTTTTATAATTAATTTATTTGCTGCAAAACTGTTTTTCGCACGTGCCATGGAGTTTTGTTATAGCCGGAAATTGCTTGTTTGCTGTTTAATCGCTTGTTGTTGCCATAGGTTTGTTCTTGCTATTGCCGTAGGTTTGTTCTTGCTGTTGCCGTGGTTCGTTCTTGCTATTTGCCGTAGGTTTTTGTTACAATTGAAAGCTACTCATTTGCAGGAGTTTTTTTTTTTTTTT